TGACGAGCAACTTAATTCCCTTCCTTTTAGAATTTGACACAATGGCCATAAATCCAAAGGAAAAGAAAAGTGATGGCGTAAGTGAGCCAAACGCTTTCTGTTGTCACATTTCTTTCTGCTTCCGGCTCCTGCTGTCGAAGGGACCCTGGAAGAGCAGGAGGCTTGGCTTTGCAACATAGCCTGGTATTCACACACTAGCTATGCCCTTGATTAGTTTGTGAGCTTCTTCAGGTCTCGTATGTGGTCTGCAATTTTTTCATCTGTGAAAGGGAGATAATAATGCAAGCCTTTTAGGATTAAAAGCAGATGCAACTGGCATCGTACTGGGAACATAATAAGTATTCAGAAATGTCAGTTCCTTTCTAATTCTTTCTCCTCACTTTTTAAAAGTGAGAACTTTGATCCAGCTGAAGAAAGAAATAAAACATAGGGGAAAAAAAAACTTAATGAATAAAAGCATATTTCTTCATAACACAGAAGCAGGAAATGAAGTAGAAGCCCTAAAAAAAAAAGCTCATATCTTAGGAAGCTAATAATAAAGAGTTAGCACTTACTGAATATTCATTCGTACCGCTGTTCTAAGTGCTCTTACATATATTAACTCATCTCTTATAATCCTCATTTCAGGACCATGCTCATTCTCAAAGCTGTAATCATGATGATTGCTCCCACCTTGCTGATGAGGAAACGGAGGCACAAGGAGAGTTACATAGTTAATGAGTGGCAGACAGTCTTTCAAAAATTGAGATCTCATTGGTTGACATCATGTTTGTGTTTTAGAAAGAGGATCTACACCCTAGATGTAATCACATGTAGCATCCACAACCAAAACACCTGTAGTCCGTTGTGCTCCCTTCCTGCTTTGTTCTTACCCCACCTCTTGCCCAAGGCCTCAGTTCTGTCCTGAACTTTCCAGGGTTTGGCCTTATCTGACCCTTTGTCGGTTTCGCCATATTCCACATAGAAATGACACCATCTGGCATTTGTCTTTGTCCTTCTATTTCATTTAGGATAATGCTCTCCAGTTCCATCCATGTTGCCACAAATGGCAATAGTTTATCTTTTTGATTACTGAGTAGTATTCCATTGTGTGCACACACCCATCTTCATCTACTCATCTGTATTTGGGTACATCAGCTATTTCCATAGTGTGGTTATTGCACATAGGACTGAAATGAATATGGAAGCACATGTTTCCCTTTGAATTAGTGTTTTTGTGTTCTTTGGGCAGTAGAGCAGGGGGAAAATTATGTGGCAGTTCCACTTTTAATATTTTGAAAAACCTCCATTCTGTTTTTCTAAATCCCACTTTGGATCCTGTTTTTTCAGCCCATTCCTGCTACCAACATTCACAGTTTGGGCCCTCTGGGATGCAGACTCTGAACACTGCATACAGAAAGTCAATGGAGCAGTACTCTCGGAACCAATATCTGTAAGGGAGTGAGCAGGGCTGGGCACAGAGAGAAGCTGGACAGCGATGCAGCTCATTGAAGGCTTGGCTTTGTACCTCCTCCCTGGCCTATTCCAGCATGTGTTCACCTCCAAGAGAGAGAGTTTGGGTACGATGAATTTCTGACTGTGAACCAACTTCAGGAACAGACTCAGCAGAGACCTATGAGATGCCAACACTCCCAGCAGCTGGAGGAATGTTTTGGGGTGGAAGTTGGGGGATGGAACTCTGGGCAGTGTGTGGCAGGCATCCAACATGCCATGCCATCTATACACAGAATACAGGATGAAATTCCTAACTCATTTTGAAGACAAACATAGCTTTAATGAAATAATGAAAACAGTGAAATAGTGAAAGTCAATAAATCTTTTACTAGGGCTTTGGATGGTTTTTAAAAAGATTTTATTTTAAAAGTCCTTATATTAGGACTTTTGATGAACTTTTTTCCTTGTGGCCCTAAAGTGTCCTTTGGCCAAAGAAGTATATTTTCTGTGATGGCAGGAGGTTCTGAATTTCAAGGACCACCTGGATTCTCAGTGGGGCCCGATGTCCTTCCGGTGGAAGGTTCAAAGTAGTTTATGTCCATCCAGATCACATTATAATTTGGGTTTTTCATATATTCCTACCTCCTGGCATCCCCTCCATTTTCCTTACTGCCTACTTATACTTCATGGTCCAGCCCAAATGCTTCCCCTCTTTGAAGTCCAACTTGACACCACCCTAATAGAATGAATCATTCCTTTTGTTCCCATATGTTTTTAGCACTGGTTCCACAGTGTTTCACTCCTTTGCTAGATTGTGAGCTCATTAGCAAGAGGAAAATAGACTACAGAACATATGCTTGGCATAGATCAAGATTCAATAAATGCTTGTAGACTCAATAAAAATGTTTCAGTGCAGAGCCTTTAAATTATTCATAAATTTTTCCTAAAACAAAGTGTCTCTGGATAGGTCAAATTTAAAATACTACTTCACATTTGGGCAAAGTGGAGCCCTAAATCTTTTTGACACTAGTCAGAACAAAAAGATATTGTCAACAGAACTTACACATTGTTTGTTTCGGTGATTTCATTCAACTATAATTCTTTGTTTAGAGTCTGATTAAATCTTGATAGAAGTATACTGACAAGATACTCACATAAGGCAATCAAAGTGGCTTCTGATGCTATTAAGTCCTAAATCTAAAGGGGTGAATTAATTGTTGAGGAATCAGTCATAACTTCTCTAGCTACAATCAGCTAGTCCCAGCCACTAGCATTTACTCATTGTCTACAAATTTTGGTGTGAAGCACGCTAGAAGCACAGAGCAACATGCTGAAGAGCCTGGTGAACACAGACCACAGACCACACAGACCCTCTTCTGGTACGAGGTCGAGACCTGTTATCAAAGTCTAGCTAGAAATAAAAGCACAAGAACAAACAAAATCCATGCCTTCCAAAGAACACAAGTCATTTATAATCTCATTTATCCATGCCCAAGAAGGACCTCTAAATATCTACGAAAAATATTAGCTCACACTTATCAAATGCTTATTGCTTGCAAGTATTTTACAGGCATGATCTCATGGATTCAACAAATATAAAACACATCTACTACCAAGCAGGCATGTGGTAGCTGGGTTTCTCTGAGAAATCTGAGGATATTAGGGAATTTTCACTGGTGTGTTCTCTTTTTAAAGCAAAACGAAAAACTTCCAGCCAGGGCTATCTATCTGGGACTAGAGCGGAGTTTTATGAGCAAGGGGATATGCAAGTGAAGCTGTATTTTCATTGGTAATCTAGCGTATGTCCACAGCAGTTCTGATGCTGCACATACATGAGAAGACAGAAGCTTGCCTTAGAGAGTAAAAGCCTTTGTCCTGAGCTTGGCTGGCAGGGACAGGCAGCATTCCATTTCTCCCCTTTCTTATCTGTAGGAAGAAAAGAATCTATATCTCTTTGATGGAGGTGTGTGTCCACAGAATGAATGGATCTAATCTTGCTGGCGAGAGTGAATTGCTTACCTTCTTCCCAGAGGTGCATATACCTCTTACTTAGAACACTAATTAGAATACTTTTATAAGTAATTTGCTCGAAGGGATGTGGGAACTAGAACGACTTGAGTTCCAAAGGTACGCTGAACTCTTTTCTGTCATGCAAACGATTGAACCAATTGTGAAGAACAGTGTCAGATTTATGAGGTCACCATGGCAGGTTCAACATGAATCAAAAAGATTTTGAGATGTCAGCACAAGATGCTGAAACCACTCAAAAAACAAACAAAACCACGCAACAACTCAGGTCTCCCCCAAATGAAAAGGAAGTGATCTGAAAACTTTTAGGGCAATAAATATTCATAGAGCCGCTTCAATTACATTTAAAGTCTGATTAAAGAGGAAGGATAACCTCAAATCACATACCTGTGAGCTAGATTCATTTAAACAATACAAACGCAAACCTCGCTGTAGTCTTTTTTGGTTTGTAAACAGCAAAAAGAACCGAACATCTAATTTTTGAAATACTTCTGGCTTCTCTTTTTGACCTTTGGTATTTGTACATATTGACGATCTCTAAACCATTGTACAAAAACACCTTGAAGTGTCAAGCTTTAAAAATGAGTCTTCTTTTCTCTTTCTCCTGTGCAGCTTGGATTATCTTGGCCTTGTCAAAATACATTCTCTAGTTAGAGGTTGGAAATATTTCCCTCCTGGCTCCAAAGTATTGATTTTCTTCAACACTCAGCTCTGTCAGTCAGCCGAAGGGGTGAAAGGTGAAAGTTCACCCAGCACTGCTTGGCTTTACCTTCCTATTAATGTCATGCCCTTTCCACATTTGATCAGTTTATGTGATCACCAATCACATAGGAAGGTTACTGCCTCTCTGTGTTCCCTAAAAGGATACATTTATGTCATCAGACGTTGAAACAATTCCTGGGATGGACACCGGGCATTTGAATAGGGCCAAAGATGTGTTGCAGTCAACTCTGATGTTTACTCCATTCTTAAAGATTATACTGTCACCGGATGACCGAGTAAGTTCAGACTGCTCTAGCTGCTTATGTGAAAATTAAAGAAGTACATTCACTTTGTGCACATATAACCCTCTGTGAGCAATGATGGCCTATTTTGTTTTTTTCTGAAAACCAATTACACCCTTTACTTCAGGGATTTAAATTCAACTCCAAGTATTAAATGAAATGAATTTAATTATCTCAGCACAGCTTCCCCTTCCCTGGGTGGCCAACCCTTGTCATCAAATCTGACAAGATATAATTTGGTACTTAAGGGTAGACAAAAAGCAACTTGCACACGATTCCCTTGCCCGGACTACAGAGGGCGCTGTTGAGTCACTGGTAGGAATGTCTCTCTGGCCTAGAGGGACTTCCTGCTCTACAGCTTTGCTGTTCTCTACCAATAAGTTTGCCTTTCCTGAAGCTAGTTCTCCAGGGAAATGAGTAATTAGAAGTAACAAGCTTAACCTAGAACCAGAAGGGGAGGGTGGAGGGGCCATATGGATTTTAACTGAGAAATGCTTAAGAAAAATGAACAATGTTTTTACGAGAAAAACAATCTTCATTACAATTGAGTTTTATTTATTTAACACATATATGTACACAGGGACACTCAGCACATAGAGAATCTATTAAATGGAATCATTGAGAAATGCCTTGAGAGGCAGACATTTTAATTCATTTGCTGTACACAGTGAGTTTCAATCACTACATTTTCATACGGGTGTCACGTCACGTCATCTTTTGCTTGTAAATTACCAGTGAAGCCACATATGTCTCTACATTTACAAGGACAGGTCCAAATACAGTGCCAGCAAAATCAATACAACACTAAAATTGTACACTGGGAACAACAATTCAAAGTTTACCTCAGTGCTGAGAGATTCTAAGCTGTGATGAAATTTGGAATCGTAGTTGTCAAAATAGCCAAGGAGAGACTTGTGTTAGAAGATGCAAATATCATCTACCCTAGCTTTACAAGTGGAGTATTCTAGTGGCCGGTAATTTTGCTTGTGCAGACAGAATGGGTCAGGGGCCTCTGCCTGTTGTCCAGGAGTTTCACTCCCCATCCTCCCGTAGAGCCTTGTTGTCAATCTCTACCTTGGGTGCTGCCTGGGCAGCTGGATGCCCCATCTGTTAGTCTCACATCTTTTTCCTGGTGACTGGGATGTTAAAAAAATAAAATAAAAAATAAACCCCCACAGCAACTCTATGATATACGTTCACTTCGTCATTCCAAAACAGCTTTGTAGTCTAGAAGAAATTAACCCGCAATTTAGGTTCATACAGTAGACATGTGCTGAGTTGCAAGACGACTGGGGTGCCCCACTGCAGAAACTCAATCTATCACAGGTTGCTGTATCAATATCGAACACGACACTGTGCTCACCACACAAAGCCTAAACTGTATAGTTCTTTGTTCTTCCTGCATACTACATAGAGAATCTTTATAAATACAATGTACATGCAAGTGGCATAAGTTCACGTTTTCAAGAACACCCAGAGTCTAAAACCAAGGATTAGTAGAGGTCTGCCATCAATGGAAACGACATACTTCACATCAATATGAAAGAGTCGTTCTAATCTTAATTTCTTAATATATTCTTTAAAAATCTGTTTCTGTACAATAACAGGTGTTTTTGTTCCTGGATGGCAATCTTACTTTTTGTGGGTATATTACATAAATGCTGACCACCGATGCTTGTTAAACTAAATGCTCCTATTATTTTTGGCTCCTTTGAAACTTCACTTATTTTCTCTGAGTTTAATAAATCATTTTCTGTATTTGCACTTAATAAACCATTTGCCCAACTGACCCCATCAGTCAACATCCAGCGGAGCAAACAAATCCCCAAATAAATACAGGTCAAGGTTTGTGAGGAGCAATGTCTACCAGGTATTATTTTATGGATTCTTTTCTATGACAATGAGGAAGAACCAGCATCATCTGCCAGAAGAAGAAAGCTACCTGGTGAAAGCGTCGTTTGAAGTGGGGTGAATACCCTCATTGCCATGTTTGCTCAACTGAGAGCTCTCTTATTTTTATATTTACTCCTGAATCCTTGTGCCATCGTTCCTTATTTTCTAGAATATTTGTTTAAACTTAATGTTGCCATAGTTTTACTTTAATCAGTCAGCAGTGGTTTGAAGGCTGAATTGTAACTATTACATGATAACTGACTAGGCATCCATATGGGATTTGTGGGTATGTGGTTTCTGGGGAGACCAGGTGGGCGCTTTCTGAAACCCAAAGGTCTGTAAGCAACAGACAAGTCTTTGTGCATCTAAGCTGGGCATCTGAAATTGGCTATCACAGAAGTCCTTTTCAAGAGGTCAGAGTGATTGTATAATCTTATTAACTACATCATAAGTGGCGATTTTCTTTTAAACTACTAAGTACACGATCACTTAAACAGAGTATGAGTATTTCAGACGATCAGGTGTCTGAGAAACTGTATTGTCCAAAAGGGGGTAAGTGTTTTTGGGCTGTTTTCTCATCGGTCTCAAATTAGGTGGGTCTTAATAAACAGGGTAGTGGCTGAGCCCTGGGAAATTGAATGTAATAAGTTACTAGCAATCACCAGGAAGGGGGGGTTGGGGGGGAGAAACCCATTCTATGTAAACACAATTCTTTTGGTAAACAATTAATAACTAGTCAAAGGAAAAAAATTTCCAGTAATTGGGACCGCCCCAGTATTTCAAAACCCACTGTCAGAACGACCAGGTTCAAGCACTTCCGAGGTGGCCTTCAGCTGGAGGAAAATGCTGATGTGGGTGGGGAACGCGATCACAGTGTTTACTGATGTGGGGGCTTCCGGTGCCCCAGGCCACACTGGCACTGGGTCGTAGGGACCAACGGCCGCCCCCAACCTGCAGGGGGGAAAAGCGACCTAGAGAGCCAGGCCACATCCCGCACGGGGTGTGCGGTGCCTCTGAATCAGCAGGTGGCACCAGCAAGGGCCTGCCTGGAGACCATGCAGAAGTGACAGCGCCCAGCTGGCCTCGAGGACACGCGGGGCAGGCACTGCAGCAGACCCAGCATGAGGGCGGGCAGGCGACTGCGGGGAGAAGAGAAGGCCCCAGGCCCGCGCGTTAGACCATGAAGCGGTGCTCCTTGCCATCGTGCGCCATCAGGATAACATTGCGGTTGGAGGTCCAGATGAGCCTGGCCAGGCGGAGGGCGTTGTGCGAGCCGGGGGAGGCCGGCTGCACGCGGGGCACCTGGTAGGTCTTGACGCAGCGCAGCTGCGGGGCGGAGTTGAGCATGCCGATGCTCCCCAGCAGCGAGGTGTTCATCTGCAGACAGAGGACAGGAGCAGGGTCACCAGAAAGCCGCTTTACCCTCCCCGGACGGGGTGCGCCCCACCACCTCTGGCCACTTTCTCCTCCACAGCGCTTATGCAGGGTCCTCTAACAGTGTCTTCTTAAACCTCTAAAGGGTTCCCTTCCGCAGAGCCGCAGACTGTTGGGGGCTCTTACAGGAAATGCCTAAATGCAGAGAAATTGTACTTGGGCACAAGGTGACCACGGGAAAGGCCACCGATCTTTTTTTTTTTTAGGCCACCGATCTTTTTTTTTTTTTTTAATTTTTATTTATTTGTGCATACAGAACTGGGGTACCGGCCAGAGATGCGGAGGGTGAGAGGCTTCACCATAGACAGAGCGGGGAGCAGAACAGACAGATAGAGGAAGTACACTGCTGAGGGGAGCAGCAGGCGGGCCAGGAGAGGTCTGCCGCGCCATGTGGTCACCTCCGGGGGCAGATGGGAATCGAACTCATGCAAAAGTGGCTTTAGCTTCTTAGTGCTTTAACCCGCTGCGCCACCAGGGAGGGCCCAGGCCACCGATCTTTAAGAAGGGAATGCAGTTATAGGTGTTGATGAGACAGTATCTGGCAATCGTGGGTATTTCAAGGGGCACGGCTTCTGGTTCTTAAACAGCAGCACTGAACAGAAGCCCCTGAAGGATAAATGACTCCATGAAGACAAGTTTTGGGAATTTTCATGAGCTCAAGAAAACGAGGCACGTTAAGCAGTATCTAGAGTGATCGGTTACTGAATCAAAGCTCAAAATGTACCTGCCACCTCCCACCTCCACCTGCCAAGACTTCACTCCTCATCAGCTTTTAAAAAATACCAGTGTCAGGAAAACTACAGTCAGCTGCATCTCAGCTCTGTGTCTGGGGCTCCCTGTTTAGCTGCCGGCGGGAGGGGGCCCACTTTAACCGACTGGCAGTGCATTTCTTTCTGTCAGAAGTTACTGTGTGCTGCTAGCGTCTCTGAACAGATTTACGTTTTAAATTCGCTTACTTCTTTCCCATAAGTACATGGCAACATGGAGGTTCTGGCCCTTGACCACCTGAGTCAAAAGTACAAAACATTGAGTGATCAGTGTCTTCCCAGCCACTGAGCCAGAGGATCCCGTAGCAGGAACACTGCTCAGTGCTCCCTCTCTCTACACCTGTCCTGCTGCTGTGGGCCTCCTGGGCAGTGCACTGGACATGTGGAAAGAGGTCTCAAGAATAAAAATTTCCTTTGCACTAATTTTCATTCCTGATTCTTCCCTCCAGCCAAACATCCACTTACATGTGTATGGGTCTGGGAACTGGTGGGAAGCATGCAGATGAGAATCTGAAGCACACAAAGCTTGACACGTGAAGCCCTGGCAAATCCTGGGGCATTTAGGGGTGGCCGCTGCTGGTCTCATGCTCTGCATTTGGATCAGGGCAGTGCGCACCCCACCCCTCTCCTGGCCCTGCTCCGCAGTGGGATGGTGTCGGAGGGCGTAAATCATGGCGTCTGGAGCAGGATGCATGCAGGCCCCACTGACATTTTCACAATTTAAATCATCTTGAGTAATAACCCTTTTAAGATGACTAATGTTACTGATTTTCCTGCATTAATAATAGTGCCGAACACAACACTGAGGTGAAAAAAAATCACTAGTATACGAGGTCACATTTTAAAACCAAATGTATGGTTATCATTAACTCTTTCTGTTAAAGTTCAGTGAACATGTAAAGCCAGGCAGTCAGTACTTGACTGTCATCCTCCTTTTTCTGTCTCTCCTGTCCCCAAACTCCATAAAAGACAAATATCAAGGCCTCATTGCTTCCTCACTTTCCCAAATAGTTTAAATAGAAAGCATGATGGTGAGTTTGATTTCATAGCTTTTACTGGTTAAAAAAAACAAAAAAAACAAAAAAAAAACAAGTAGCAGTATGTTACTTAATCCTCTCTCAGAATCCATCCAAATGATTCAGAAAATTGCTGCTTGAAATGAACTGGCATTTATAGGCACCCTGTGCTCTTAAAAAAAAAATGTCATTTTTCCTATTTCATTCTGTATGGATTTATTGCAAAATATGTATAGCGCCTGATTTCTGCTGGTGTCTCAAAATGCTTGGAGTAACCCCTACTCTCGGATGTATCCTTATGTTTAACTACTGCCTTCAAATTTAGCCACATGGACTAAGAAATGGGTTAAGTATTAAAGAGGGGCAGGGAGAGAATATCTTACTGGAATGTTACAAATGGAAAGATTTCAACAGCACATCTTTTATGGTATCTAGGTCCCTCTTACAAGCTGAGTCTTTATCCCTCAGCTGATGGGTAAATCATCTGATACACTGACAAATGCCTTCCTGCTTGGAGCCTTCCTATTTCTAAACAGGACTGTGTGAAATTCTCTGAGCACATAATTGTCGTAGCTGTGTGGAGCTGAACAATGAAGACCCCATGGTGACTACAGTGTGTTGCTCTTCAGACCACTTCTTTGCCTGTGACCTCTTCAAGTCAGAAGTGAGTCAAGCGCGAAGAGTACTAATTTTTTCCAGAAAGCTCAAAGAAATTTCATCAAAATAATCAACCATTTTGTTACTTAATATTTTCGTAACCAGTGACTGGCTCCAAACCATGTCAAAGTAAGACAATCTGAGGCTTGAATCAATGAAACCACCTATAAATATATATGAAATAATATAATTACATGTGGTAATAGTGATGATAAAATCTGCTAACAATAACTTTTTCTTGTTCACAAAGGCAATACTCATTGCAGAAAATAAAAATAATAAAAGCAAAAATTCCATACAATCTCACTTCTCAGAGGTTATACATAATAATTGGGAACTCTATATCCAGACTTTCAAATATGCAGACCTACCTAAGGAACAGCTTTAGGGAATTTTACGATCAGAGGCTCCTCTTAAGGGACAGTTTTATAATCTGCTTTTCCCATTTAACTGTTGAAGGTGATCTTTTTTATGTCAATGTCTACAGATTAACATCTTCCTTTTAGATGACTGAGTATTACTCATTGGTAGGATGGAATAAATACAAATAAAGGAAACGAATATTCATTTAATGTACCATTAGCATTTCTGAAAGAAAATACACATTTGTTGGAGGATAGTGGTGAAGTTCAGTTGAGAGAACCGTATGCAGTCAGTAGTAAAATCCCCCTTGCTCAAATACCAGTATATATATGGAAGTGAATATTCAACTGAGGAACAAGGAGTTGGAGAATCACAGGACTTGAAAGTTTGCTAAATTATGTCACCTGAAAGTGGAGGTTGTAAACTCACCAAAATACAGATTTAACTTTATTCTCTCCTTTAAACATGTTTCACAGAACTAGTTCTGTGAAGATTACTTTTCAAACACACAGAAATACATACAAACGTAATTCATCAAAACAAGCAGTGTTTTAATGCTGTTCTCAGTGTAAGTAATGTTGCACATAATCTTTGACTAAGTCTCACTTGAGTAATTACCCAACCAATACTTCTCATTAACACTCATTCCTCATCAAAGATTTTAATAGCTGATAGCTTTTGTAAGGTTCTGTAAAATAAGACTTCATTACATTTTCCAAATATATTACAGTACATTTACTGGAATAATATAGAAGTATTATACATCATTAGAACTAAACACTACGTATTAAATGAATCAGACAAGTCTGTTTGGGGAGCACAGTGGTAGATCCAGCACAGATATTTTGGACTTTAAATCAAGTAAAAACCCACTATCCAGGCCCTCCCTGGTGGTGCAATGGGTTGAAGCACAGCACTAAGAAGCTAAAGCCACTTCAGCACAAGTTCGATCCCCGCCCCGGTGGTGACCCACATGGCTCAGCAGACCTCTCTTGATCTGCCCGCTGCTCCCTTCAGCCATCTATGTCGATCTACCTGTTCTGCTCCCCACTCTATCTCTGGTGAACCCTCTCACTGCCCCTGCACCTCTGGCCTGTACCCCAATTCTGTATGCATAAACAAATAAATCTTTTTTAAAAAACCCACTATCCTTTTGAAAGAGGTTTTATTGTCTTTCCTTGATAAAACAGAGATGATACTTTTGTGCCTTCCATTTAAATTTCAAGACCAAGCTGATTTTCGTGTAAGCATTAAAGTAATGAGCTACATTTTAAATTCTGGCATTGGGTTTAGAGGACAGAAAGACTTGGGTGCTGCCTGAGTGGCTTTGGTGCTCTGGCAGGTGAACACAGCCCCTGCAGTGACGGGAATAGAGCAAAAGCAGGTGCAGTCCCACCGTGTGCAGACCACGGGGTTTCACTGTCCTTGGCAAAAACAGCAGGAGCCGGAACAGTAGCGCTGAAGCTGAAAACGATATCTGAGAAAGAGGCCACCTAGTGAATGAGGTAGAACTCCAGGGTAAGAAAGGAGGTGAACCAGAATTCCATCCATGTGCTGGGCAGAAACTTGGACAGAAACAGGAAGATGTTCAAGAAGGGATAAACAGGCTCAATTAGAACTTGGACATCTAGATACAAGCGAACAGTTTACCACTTAGAAATCCAGGAAAATATTGGAAGAAGTTTCAAATCTGGCTAATTCATGAAGGATTCATTTATACAAGGAATTAGAAATTCTTAGCAGGAAAAAAAAAATGTTTTTTTTTTAGCCAAAGGAAACAGCACAGGGAAAACACAAGCTCCAGGGATGGGGCCCGAGGCTTGGAGACGGATGTCTACAGTCCGGCATTTTCACACCCAGAGCGTGTTGCGTGAATGGGGCTTTCCAGGAATACTCCTCTGGGATTTCAGGGGAAGCGGCGATAAGGGAAGCTTTGTCAGAGTACCGTTGGTGTACAGAGATTACAATGTGAAGTGTGAGTAGAAAAATCAGCAGGGAGAGAAATGCAATAAAGCCCCCAGCTGCAAGAAGCCTGTTTATGGACACGTAGGGGAGTGGCTGTGGGGTCTCAGTGAGAAGTGTGGGTGCTGTGGTTACCCGCTGGGGGAGGCAACGACAGGGCGGGACCTCTGACAAAAAGTCTATTTTTATCACGAGCTAATTAAGATGCTGGAGATATATTCTGGAAAAAAGGGTAATGAGAACATAAACTGGGAAACCAAATTAGTCGAAGAGTAGCGCAAGTCTGACAGATTTGGAAGTTGTCATGCTTTAATAGCAAGTTGTTAATTAAGCAATTTATTGTATCTGTTTTACATTTTATTAGCTATTGATTTCTTTAGAAACCACCATCAAGTTGGCTGAAGTCTTGTTTAAACTTTTATTTTTATTTGTTTTTTTTTTTTTTTAGCTCTCTAAGCAATAAAGTATTGCTCATAAAACATACTTGCAGCTTAGCAAAGTAAAGGCAACAAAAAATACTTAAATCAACTTTTTGGGAGGATGATCATAGTTCACATTTTTGTAGTTATCAAAAGTAAAATGATTGAATGAGATGAATCACTAAGTTCTGTGATAAAATTGGTAGCTCAATTTTATCAGAATTGAACACTGGGATGCTCATGGAGTCCCAGTTAATGATACTGGGGTTTTTTGATATCTTTTGACAGTTTGGGAATGAAGAGCATTGTGTGGGAAACACACAATTTAGAGTGCAAACAAAGTGAGATTACATATAGAAAAAAGACACATGGAGTTTACATGCGGTGGGCTGCCCATGCCCAGGGCCCTGCGGAAATTAACAGCCTGAGCCGAGCTCTCCAGGCTTGTGCCCTTCCAGGCCCTTGTTTACCTCTGACCAGTTGCTCCCTCTCCTTAGGTCCCTTCACCCCCATCCTGTCCCTACCCCCCACCATTCTTTTTTTTTTTAAAGATTTATTTGTGCATACAGAATTGGGGTACAGGCCAGAGGTGCAGGGGAGGTGAGAGGATTCACCAGAGACAGAGTGGGGAGTAGAACAGGGAGATTGACGAAGTACACTGCTGAGGGGAGCAGCGGGCGGGTCAGGAGAGGTCTGCTGCACCCTGTGGGTCACCTCCGGAGCGGGGATCAAATTCATACTGCAGTGGCTTTAGCTTCTTAGTGCTGTGCTTTAACCGGCTGCGCCACCAGGGAGGGCCTCCAACCACCATTCTTCAGCAGCATCACATCTTTACATCTTGGCTTAGATGTCACTTCCATGGGAAGCCACCCCCAACGCCTTATTCTTCGGTGCCCTCTGTATTATAACTACTTGCTAATTTACCTGCATTCCCCTCAGTCTGAAAGCTATGAGAGAGAGCAGAAATCTCTGCCTTCCCAGACTGCTAATTGTATTCTCAGCAGACCCTGCCTGTGTGCACCTGACATGGAGTCGGTGAGCAATAAATACCTGATATTAATTGCAAGAAGGGAGGAGGGTGAAGGGGAGCTGGAGGGCAGGCTGCACAGCCTTCCCCAGCAAAAGCCTGTCCTGCTGGGAACCCCAAGACCGTCCCATCTGTGCTTACCTGCCAGAAGGAAATGTGGCTGTCAGTGTTGGAGTAGGTGGCAAGATAGCGTCCGTCAGGAGCAAAGGCCACCGCAGTGATCGGTCCCTTGTGTCCATGGATGGTCTAAAATAAATTCAGAGTCGTTAATGGGGTGCTGTCCAGACTACTGCATGTACACACAAACGCACTCAGTACTGGACAAGGTATGTCCTGGATATTATCTACCATCGTGCCCTTTGTTTTACTTACAGAAACAGGTTAGAAAAAGTAAAGCGACCGAAGCTCTCTCACTGACATATCCAATTTTTATTAGGCGAGCTACCTGTCTCCTAGCTGGGAGGAGAGCATGAGTCAAGCACTGTGTTCATTCACTGATGCTGGTTAAAGAGACGACAAGGTAAGGAGAGAAACCTGCAGTCACCAAATCTATGCGGGAACCTTGGTCATCTGACATGAAAAGCAGTCAAAGCTATATTATAATGTCCCTGTTCTCAAAACAGTTTTTATTAAAAAACAAAAAACTATTAGTTCAGCCCCTTAATAATGTTATATACATATAGCATCATTATATATAATATTAATATATATATTTCACATTTAAAGCTTCAGTTACCACCAATAACTCTGTGCTTAAGTGCACATATACACATTAAATACTGCTAAAAATGAGTTAACAGGGATAAGCTTGAGTCTTTGCCCAGTAGCTACCATTGATTTAGCCATGAATAATAAAAAGCAAGTTGTATTTTAGACTAGGTTTTGGATAAAATGTGCTTACTAATAAATAATTATACTCCAGTTTAATGATGTTAACAGTTCACAAAAACACTGGCCTACTAAACAAATTAGCATAAAATCATATTAATCTCTCTGCACTCACTATTAAAGACCATACCTCTACTCCATTAAGCAATGTGAGAAGCTGTAGTTCAGTCTCTCCGCTGTCTAGAAAGGAGCAGGGAAAAACATTCCCTTAAACTAAGACAATAGCAGGAAGTTTCATTTCCATCTATTTCTGATGAAGAATTGTGAACCCCGGGTGTCTGGGTGGAAGCATCACACTCATGTGATTCAACCGCATACGAATCATGAGTCAGTAAGACTCTTCTCTAAATTCATGTCTGAGTGATTCAAGGAGGAAGAAGAAGGCGAAAAGGGAGGGATGGAGACACAAGAACTTTCCTGATGTGTTTTGGATTTTGTTCTTTCCCGCCTTTAGACTTTTACAGCACAGTGACACCCCAGATAGTACCTGATTTTTGGCATTCAGTGAGAGAATGCTGGACTGGCAATTCAGCACTGGGCTCTGGGCCAGCAAAGAATGCTCTGAGACAGGCTACCAGGTTTGCTTAGGGCTCCCTACATGGCTGACGGTGGGAGCTAGGCAAGTTATTTAGGTCACTTAACCTAGGGGAGTACCCCCAAGTCTACAAAGTAGAGGTGATGATGATAGCTGCCACAAAGAGCTATGGAGGTTCAATTATCTGCATGTACCTATAGATAATAAAACATCTCGATCTTTGTACAATGTATGGCACAACAGCTGTAAATACTA